TCATAAAAGCTTTTCAGAAATAGCATAGGTTGGTGGTGTTAATGGTTGAAATCATGTTGAGAGGAGATTTATTTTTGTACTATACCACTCACAGATCAAGTCCTCAAATGAATTCTGAGTTTTTTTTTTGTTTTTTTTTTTTAACAAAGGTCAAACGCCTCATGTCCTGAGGAGAGCCTGTACGAAATTAAACACATGCCATCACATATAAAATATATCACCAGACACAGGACAAGCAAACAGTTGAGTCTGTATCCATGGAAACTGGAGACTTTTTTTTCCAGATTTATAGGTCTGGACCAGGAGCTCTTATAATAAGAGCTGTGTGTGAAGTAGTGTGTTTACTGGCTTTTTGTGATGACTAACTGGTGGCTCGGTGGTTAAAGATGCGTCAAAGTTAGAAGTCATACCCAAGGACTGCCAGAGAGCCACTTGAGCAAGACTCTTAACCCTCAGCTGCTCAGATCTGGGCCTGGGTTGTATTCTGGATCACTTGAAAGCACCTGAGGGGGGCTGAAGAGATCAGAAAGTGTTGTGTGGAGCAGCAGGTGATTCTCTTCTTTTCAGACGCTTTGATGGGGCCTAACTGTCTGAGAGCTTCTGAAGACTCAAACACAAAAACAATCACTCATGGATGCAAACAAAACTAATAAATCTGAAAAATCACCTTCAGTTACATAGATGCAGTTCAAGACGCCATCTTGAGCTCCTCTCGCTGGTCCCACTCAGCTCTCTATTAACCCAGTAACTGGATTTCTTAAAAATACTTCCTTTTTTCTTTTCCCTCTTTGACTTATTACATTTTACATATTTCAAAAATGATGCTTGGATTGCCTTTCTGTCTTTCTTCTTCGAATAAGGTTTCAACCATGTGAAAATGTGAAACTGAGAGAAATATCATGAGGAGATAATTAATCCGAGATGATCTGAAATGTTAAAGTTTTTGATAAAATTACAGTATAAGCTTCATGAGATTGGTTGTAGGTGCTATAACATATGCTATAACTATATATGGACTAACTTGTTTCACAAACAACATTAAACACACCTATAAATGGATAAACATCGATGTGCTGTTCTCTAATGAATATAAAATATAATTGTTGGCAAATTGCTGTAGTATAAGAGGATTAAAAGACTTCAACACAGCTTCAGCACTATTGGAAAATAATCAACTTTGGGGTTGTAATAGTTTACTCTGAGCCATATCACACCACCCTGTCGTTGATAACTTTCCTATAACAGCACCCTCAACAGTGCTGAGTTAATAAAATGCAGTTAATAATGTTAGTTAATGGAATCTTAATGTAAATAGTTGCTAAGCTATTACCAGGTATTATAGCAGTTGTACAAACTAGCTAATGTTAGTCTCTAGTGCTGAGAGTGAGACAGTCAGCTAATAATTAGCCTAGAAAAAATATCTTCAACAGACTGAGTATAAGTGTATGCTGAAAATAAGATAGATAGCAATGTATCTCCGCATACCCAATCTGGAAGAATTAATCACACCCAGCGCTGATCTTCAGTAGCACTGCCAAGCGGTCATTACTGTGTCGAATGCGAGGACATTAGAGTGGACAAACACCAGTTCATACACAGATGCACAGCAGGACATTTATCATCTCCGTGGATCTGCTGGGAGATGCTCTGGGTCTCTTTGCTGTTCTCTCCATAATGGAGCTCCTGCATCATGATCTGCCATCATACACCTCCGAGGCCCATTCTGGATTCCTCGCCTCCTCTGTGATCCATCACAGCCTTCCATTCAGAGTTCACACACACACGTACACACACTCGCAGCCACTCTAACAGTCCCGTGGCAACACTGACATTGCTGTCATCTTGTGTTCAGACACCATCATCACCTCCATTACCATCATCTCGGTCGTAACGCTGCAGGATGATGGCCAGTCCTGTATCTGGGCCGCTTTATGTGATGTGACACACCATAAAGCGCTGGCTTTTCATTTATTTATCAGCTCCAGGATGTTGATAATCCTTTTCCTCCACATGTGGATGCATTTCCCAGCACCTCTCACCTCTTGGTTTTCAGTCATCTCTTCTGAGCACTGGTGCAGCCTCATCCTGTCCTGCTGTTAGCACTATCGTCATAACATCACTTGATTTGACTCTCAGGTCCTTGAGGGCCTGTGCTCTCATAATAAGCGGTAGTTCCACAGTTAGGGTTCTGGCAGGAGTGCCTAAGGGGCAGGGGCGGAAAAATAAAAAGGGCGCCCCCTACACACAGTGGGGTCTCTAGAGAGCACATTTTCTCAAAAATAAGAAAACCTAGAGGGCACTTCATCCCATTTTCCTGCATGTAAGGGAACCCTGTAGGGCACTGAAAGGTCACCCAGTAAGGCAATTTTTTCATGTTTCCTTGCATGAAGCAATATATAGCACTGCATCTGCACTGCATCACGTTCTCTGGCACATAGGAGCACCTAGAGGGCATTTTATCTCATTTTCTTACATGTAGGGGAGTCTATAGGAAACTGTATCATGTGTTCTCCACAGAAAGGGCACCCATTAGACCAATTCATCATGCTTCCTCACATGTAGGGGAACCCTATAGGGCACTGCATCATGTAGTCTCCACTGGAAGGGCACAACAGAAGACTCTTCATGTTTTCTAGCACATAGCAGCACCCTATAGGGCACTGCATCATGTTTTCTCACATGAAGTGGCACCCTAGAGGCATTTTATAAATTTTTTTCCATTCGAAAGGCAGCCATTATTGCACATCATCACATTTTTTCCACTGTAATGGCATCCTAGAGGGCACTTTATCATGCATTATCTACCACAGGGACACTTTTGGGGTTCTGTATTAGTGACTGGAAGGTAATGGGTTCAAATTTCAAAACTACCCAAAAGCCACTGCTGGGCCTTTACGCAAAAGCCTTAATCCTTCTGATTGGTCAGAAGGTGTTGATTAATATTCTAGAACAGCAGCTTTGACAGTGGTGCAGCTCCAAATCACAGGTTTATATTAATGCGCTTGTTGTAACGTTATCATTTCTATAGTAAACTGATTTAATTATTGATATGGTGACGTTTTCTGTAAGGATATGGTTATTTGGCATTTGTGGAAGGAGTCTCCAGTGTCAGCACTTTGTAACAGCCAAAAATAAAGGAGGAGTTTATACTTTGCAGTTTCTCAACATGACAAGCTGTTTTATCTTATCAATATTAAGAAGAAAGAAAACGTTTTGAGGAAATGCCTGTTTACAGCTGCTATTTTTTTAAATTAATTTTTTTTAAAATGCTGTGGTATAAGGAGAATAAAACACTTCAGGGTATGCAATTATAGGAAAATAATCAAGTTCAAGTGTTATGAATTCCCCCTCCGTGAACATCGCCTTTCCCAGCATTCATGTTTCCACATTATTTATGTTTTGCCATGTGTGTTCATTTTAGTTCCAGTCCCGCTTCTGATCCTGCCTTGTCATTGGTTGATTGCCCTAATGTGTTCACCTGTTCCATGTCCCACCTTGATTATTTTTTTTTATTATTTCAAGGTCTTGTCTATCATATTGTGCATTTCTGGGCATTATTCCTTGTCTGTTATCTTCTGCTTTTCCGATTAGTGCCTGTGTTATCGTTTAATTGTGGATTACACTTTTTTGAGATTTCCAGCATGTGTATTGACCCTCGCATTGAAATATGACTATGATCCTTAGATTACCCAAAATATAGCCCTCACTGAGAACACACACTTGCATCCTGCCTCATCAGGGTGGTGACGGTAACTCAGCTTTATCATACCACCCTGTCATCAATTTTTTTCCCATAACAGCACTCCCCAGTACCTGGGCAAGAAGCGTGGGTATGACAAGTCGAAATAATAGCGAAATGTGTGATCGTGGTTAATTTGCCGATCTGCATCATCTGGAGAAAAAGAGCAATCATGCATACGCACACACAGGAAAGAGATGGCGAATTGTACACAAGGCTGATATCCAGTGATAAATGCATAGCTATTGACTTATAGTGTCGCAATAAGAGTGACGAATGCCATCTATGAAAACAGCATTCCACACAGCAACAACAACAACACACAATTAGCAACTTAACACATGACATGTTTCAATGCTTGCCTCCCAGCTCCCCTCGGAGGGACCGCACAACGGTGGCCTTTAATTTGATTGTGCACTTAATTGCATTTGCCTGAAAGCAGCAGCATCTGTTTCATCCCCTTCCAAGCAGCCAGAATACAGAGACGGTCCCAAACGTGCCGCCTTCTCTTCACCCTAATCATCCTCTCTTCAGGGAGAAACACAAGGCTGCGAAATTAAATCAGCTCGCCGACTATTTTTACCACCATCAGGAGGTTCGTGTCACAGTCGATCCAGACGCCTACACCGTTTCTGAACGAAGGAGACAAAGAAACTGATTATGTGAAGTCAAAAAGGAATAAAAATAGAACGCACAGGTAAAACCTACATCATTTTGGTGCTTTATATTTCTGTCTTTTGTGTCTTTGTGATAAAGAAATTCTCCACGCTCCAGCAGCAGCAGCGTATGATGGTGCCATTTTGGGGGAATCCCATAAGGCTTTATAGACACTTGGATCTTCTACAGTGCATCTCAAATGGCCAAACTCAGGTTACATCTGGCTTTATCTCACTTTGAACACACTTATCTTTCTTATTGACACACATCCACTGTGGTGGGGGGAAAAAAAGCTGTACAGACTCTTCAGAATGAAATACTAGGCTCTTCAAGGACTTAATATTTTTATATTCAAGGATTATACAGGAGACTTTGTTTGCATATAGCATCAGGTTATGAATGGAATGTCAGAGTAGTTATGGGTTGTTCCTCTTTTGGCTGCTCCCGTTAGAGGTCGCCACAGCGGATCACTGGTCCACGTATTTGATTTGGCCCAGTTTTTACGCCGGATGCCCTTCCTGACACAACTTTCCACAATTTTCTCTGGGCTTGGGACCGGCACTTAGAGCACACTGTTGCACGCAACCCCAATGGCTAGGGTTGGTTCCCTGGCTTGGAATCGAACCCAGGTCAGAGCGGTGAGAGCGCTATGGCCTAACCACTAGTCCTCCAGGGACCCAGAATGGTTATGAGTGCATTCTGAAAAAAATAAGCACCTATTTTCAGGATTTTCAAAACATTCAAGCACTTCAAGCCTGTAACAGGAGTCTTACCCTACATCCGCAATTCATTTGTTACTTGTGAAAATGTAGCGACTGCTACCGTGGTCATGTGTGGGTGTGGCCTGCCGAATGATTTCTGTTGTTGTTGCGATGAGGAATGATATTAGCAAAAATGTAAGTGCCTCTAAAACTAGTTAAACCCAAATTAAATACCGCACTAATCAGTGTGAGTGTTGGTAGTAGGCTTTGTACTAGCTTCATTGGCAGTATAGCAAAGCAAGCTAACTGTACTAGCTATGCACACTCACCAGAGGCACTAACGATCTCAGCCAGTTCCTTCCAAATTTCTCTGTGTCTACTTTTTAGTACCAGTTCTTCCTCACTTAGTTGCCTGCTCCTTGCTGGTTTTTTTCTGACATTAGCAATCATCTTTTTTTGGTCTAACCGCTCTGTGTTATTATCTATATGTAGTTTATAATAACTTTCATTATTACATTATTAACAGATATGAACAAATCATTTATTATTCAGAATTCTACTATCAACAAACAACAGTTCATAGCATTGCTAACTGTAAATTCTGAATAACTAGTGATTCTTCATATCTATTAGTGATGTAAGGAATAAAACACTTGGGGACATGCTATCATAGGAAAATAAGCAACGACAGGGTGGTGGTGATGAAGCAGAGTTACTGTTGGAGTGACAGACGTTTTATAAATATTTTCCAATAACAACAGTGCTGAAGTGTTTTATTTCTCTTACACCGTAACAATTTAGCAATGATTATATATATTTTTTATTTATTAAAGGATGACATGTCATTTTTAACCTTTTATAGTTACATTTAATGTGGTGGAACTTCTATGAAACAAGTTCCTGTTATCACTTATGTTATAGCAGCTGTGAACATTCATCCCCTCACCAGCCTCTCTTTTTACTCTCTCTCAAGAAGTTAATACGACAAAAAAAAAAAAACACAGCTTATCATGTTACAGAGAAACTCCTCTGTCCTGAAGTGCTTACACTGAAGACTCCTTCCATAAACATTAAAAAAAAAAATTCTTCTGACAGAAAACTTCTCCATATCAGCCATTACACACATTTTTAATCCATTCAACGGCACCCTGGTATAATTCAATTTATTTAATATTCTATACTTTATACTTTTTTAAATACAGATTCTATTTAGTTTTTGTGGAACTGGAGAGAAATATCTTGCCAGCAGCCATTTGATAATCTCAGTCCTGCAGGGTCATGTTGAGTTTTCTCTCTCTCAGACAAGCACAATAAAGTTTATCTTTAGACGTCAGACTCTCTTGGTAGTGCTTTTGAATTGGACAAATTTGGTTAGATACGTGTTCATGCAGATATGAAAAAAAAAAAAAAAGAAAAGAAAAATTAACTGCTGCTTCAACTCACCTAATGCTATTTAGTAATGTAAAACTGAACTTCATCTCCCTCTCCTGCTAAGTAGCATGACAGAGTGATTGGTGACACAGGCGTCTGCTCTTGGCATTTAAGCAGCTGTTTCGCAGTTCACACAGTTCACACTCAGGCTAATGTCTTCCTCGCATGAGGTCCCACACTATGGAGAGTAGTACGTGATCGCAGCGGGACGAGGTGATGATGGATGAGGGGAATAACGTCACTCCATTGGGTATCGCATTCATTCTGCCACTCTTTAATGTTGGGATTAAGTATGCCTTATAGTGTGCAGTGGGAGATTGGATCTTGAGAGAGAAAGAGAGAGATAGAGAGAGGGAGGGAGAGAGAGAGTGAGAGAGAGAGAGAGAGACAGTAACAGTGAAATAGACATAGAACCGAACCACAGGAGGGACCACCTGCTGAGCTCCAACTCCACAACACAGCTTCTGTACAACTCCACTTCCTGCTTGCATCATCATCATCATCTCTAAACAGAGAGAAAAGAGAAAAGATCGAGCCAATTTGCACAATCCTCGGAGACCTAACAAACTGTGAAACACACACACCAACGCTTTCAGAGACGCATCATCATCAAGAGGGAGAGAGAGAGCGAGAGAGAGAGAGAGAGAGAGAGAGAGAGCTCTCTGTTCTGACAATTTCACACTAGTATGAGCAGTTCACTACGGCTACTATCTACAGACTGTGTGCACACGTTGGGTGTCTATTCATTTTTAACTGCATAAACTGGCAAGCTCTGAACAGAATGTACGTCCATCTGGCTGCAGGCTAGGAAAGAAATCATTCATGTTAAATAGACTGTGATATGGCAATCATGGAATTCATCTGTACAGCACACACTGCTGTGTTTTCATTAAATAAGAGAGAATCTATATCCCACGAGTCCTGTGTTCACTCAACTCGGCGTTTCCTAAGGTTCATAAGGTCAAGCCAGGGGTCATGAGGTCACCAAACATCAAAACTTCAAACAGCATTAATTAGGATATAATACATAATTTAGGTAATTTTATAAACATAATTCGATTATGTATAAGGCAGATTTCTCATAACATTGCTGTCAAAACCTGCTGTGAAACAGGTTAGTTCCTGTTCTCACTTACATTATAGCAGCTGTAAACAGTCATTCCCTCACCAGCCTCTCTTTTCAAATTAATAAGACAATAAGCTTGTCATGTTACCGAACTCTGTAAACCCCTCTGACCTGAAGACTTTGCCATGTTGGAAAATTTCCTGAGTGCTGACACTGGAGACTCCTTCCATAAATGTTAAGGTCTCCTAACAGATAAATGATACATTTGAATTCACTAAATAACATCATGGGACTTACAAGTCCCCATTAAAGTGTTGCTACTATGGAAACGATAACGTATTAGAACGAGCGCATTAATATAAACCTGTGATTTGGAGCTGCGCTTCTGTCAGAGCTGCTGTTATAGAAATATTAATCAACACCTTTTGAATAATCAGGTTCAAGAATTCAAGAACACGGCTGCTGTATAATATTGAATAATGATTTGCTTTTAATTATTTACTTTTTTCCATCAGTATGACGAGTATATCTGAGCATCATGGTTGTAATATGTGCCAAATTTTATCTTGCAGCTTTTCCGATATTTATCACAGTGACACAAGCCGGTGTAGTCTATCTCCCAGAATCCTCTGCTCTCTCATTGTGCTGCTGAAAGTGAATCAGTGTTTGCAGAGCGGATATGAGTACCCGACCTCCACGACCTTTCTGTCTGTGTGTGCAAACACACCGGGGCAGCGCAGTGTGAAGAAGGAGACAGAGATGCGGAGGAAAAACAATGCCACAGAAGGAAAAACACGCTTCATGAGGGAGTTAATGGTACAGCAGATCCATGAGACATAAAATATCGCCGAATAAAAATCAAACAAACACCCAGCCTCAGTGAAGCTTACAAGGCATGTTGCTCAGTGAAGCTATGAGGTCTGTTATTGTAGTAGTGCTAGTTAACCTCTAGATGGAGACACTTCAACAGCTGGTGACCAGAAAGAGCTCGTCCACATACGGACCTGCAGACCTGCCCTGCTCCGTCCCAAATGCTGTGATTTATATCCGCTTACTGTTACTACTACAACATCGGCTGTCGAGGAATGGCGTCATTTTATAAAACACTATACATTTTTGTGATTTTTGTGTTAAGGCATGTGTAAAGGAAAATCTGGGAAGCAAAGATGCTTCCAAAAATAATGAAATGAAAAGTACCTAGATATCTATTAAATTCCTGTAATGAGCAGTGAACAGTAAATCAATAAATAAATAAACAAACAAATAAATAAATAAATAAAATCAGTATTTGACATGACCACAATTTGTCTTTAAAACTGCTTCAGTTCTCTCAGGTGCACTGTTGTACACTTTTATAAGCAAATCAGTTAATAGGCTTCTTAAGCATCTTGGAGAACCTGCCAAAGTTCTTCTGGAGATTTTGGCTGATTCTGCAGCTAAAATCAAAAAGCCTCCATCCATCCATTTTCCACACCACTTATCCTACGCAGAATCTGGAGATAGGCCTGGAGTCTATCCCAGGGAACTCGGGGCACAAGGCAGGGGGTCCAACCCACTGCAGGGCATCATCGCACACACATCAGGGTGTCCCCCCGCCTTGTGCCCCGAGTTCCCTGGGATAGACTCCAGGCCTATCTCCAGATTCTGCGTAGGATACCCAGAGGAAACCCCCGAAGCACGCGGAGAACATGCAAGCTCCATGCACACAGGGTGGAGGCGGGATCCGAACCCCCAACCCTGGAGGTGCAAGGAAATATATTTACACAGTTCAAGCTTAAAATTCGAGATTCTTCCTAAAGTTCTTCCTGAAATTTCAAGAAAACTCTTGAAATAAGCAAAATTATCTGCAAGAAAATGTCAAGTTTGAAATTATTACAAAATGATTACAAAATGTTCTAGAAATAGGATTAGTCTTATATTTTATCTTATATTTGTATATTTATTTTTAAAACCAATATAGAAAGAGAAGTATTAGTGGGTTTTCCATATATTTAAGATATCTTAAAAGTTCATGAATGCAGATGAGATTTTAGGTTCCGAGTAAACATGATTCATGTATTTTTCATGAATTTATTTATTTATTTATTCCTTTTTTCTTTTTTTTTTTACAATTGATTCATTCATTTTCATGTCTGTGTGTTTTATTACTCATTTATTTTCACACGTAAGACACGTGGTCTTATTTATTTATTGGACGTATTATTCACACAATGTCACATGTTTACTTTGAACCCACATGGTTGCTTTTTTCTTATAACACCATTTCTCTAAGTATTATAAACGGTGTCCCTTCCTGCTTTGTGTCATGTCTCATATGTATGAAATGTGTTTTATAAACAAGCTTAACGTCATTATTTTTTAATACGCTACGGATTGTCAGTGACGCACAGAGAATATTCACACATCAGTGGAGCAGAAAACTGCATCAAGGCACAAGAACGATGTAAACACACACACGATCAGAGGAAGGCAGATATC